AATTAGCTTTTTTTTCTATGTAAGGGAAGTTAGTAATGGTGGAAAGTGACAGATTAGCAGCTCTGTATACTGAAGCTTGTCTTTTGATCAGGCATAGCACAAGTAACAGCAGCACTGGGTTATTCTAGAACCAGGCCTAAAAATGATCCCCTGCCACTTGGGATTGTTTGAAGGTTGAATTGCTGACAGGCATCGTTCCCCCAGCTATCCCCAGGCAGCCAGAGTATATGATGGAAGCCTTTCTACTAGAACTTGCTGAGGATGGAATAGAAGCGGGAACATACATAGCAGTGAAAATTCAGTGCTATTTCCATTTCTGGTAATACATGACATGACATGAAATTGCTTTTAATGGGCATCGGCTGATTGAATTTACCAATGGCACATCAGGCCTGCTTTAATAGAGAAGATTCAGTTATTTCATCCTTTACTAGGTGCTTCAGAAATCCTATTGCTTTTTCCTGTCTCACTGCTCTATCTATCAGTATGGGCTTCACTGTATCGGCACAGTGGATTTATTCTCAATCCTTTGGTTCCATGGGCCCAGTTGTAGAACTGCAGTAGTAAAAAAGAGAGAGTGCTCATCACTTACTACTGTGTCCAGATACTTAGTAGAAGTAATCACTGCTCAAAGCAGCCGCCACTGAAACTATTCCTGTCACCAGGGTGCCAGTGACAAAAATTGTTTCTTATTGAGTGACCTTTGAATCATGTCTGGAAGGGCAACAGTAGTTGAAGATATCCTGGTGAGGAAGGGCCCTACTTGAGAAGCTTGAGGGCCCTGTGACTATAGATTCATTTTTATCTCTGACTGAGGGTAGGGGAAAGCTCTTAAACTACAATATACTGGTATGTTTTCCCCTTTGAACCACAGTATGAAAAGAGATAGGAGGCAGACTGACAGAGTCCTGTCCCTTGGACACTGAGAAAATTAAAATGGAGTAAAACTGGAGGGGAAACTGAGGGGGAAGGGGATGAAGGGTAAAAGGTCTGGATGTGTTTGAGCTGAAAAGAAAATTTCAGTTCAGCTGTGTACTATATTTACTTTCTGCAAACCTCAGAGCACTCAGGCTTCCCTAGTAGGTGCTGGCCCCTACCCTGGGGGTCTTTAAGAAGAGGCTGGATGCCTACCTGGCTGGACTCATTTGAGTCCCGTTTCTTGTTTTGGGGTTTTGTTGTTCTCCTGCCCTGGCGGGGGGTCGGGCTAGAAGATCTACTAGGTCCCTTCCGACCCTTAATCTATGAATCTATGAATCTATGAATGGTGGTATTCTTACCAAAGCAGAGGTTGTTCAGAGAGGGACTGGATAGGGGTAAGGATTAAAAATCAAAGGAACTGGGTTTAGTTTTGAGTTCTGCAACTGATCTGTTGTGTGACCTTGGACAAGTCCCTTCACTCTGTTTTTCTGTTGCCCATGTTGTCCATTTAGACTGTCAGTTCCTTGGCGTTAGAGAACATCTCTTATTACATGTTTGTATGTAGCATAACAGAAAGCTGATTTCATTTGAGCATTTAGGTGCTACTATAATATAATAAAACAGGAAGGATACCATATGATTTGAATAACAGCTAACCAGTGTCAGTAGCAGCCTTAGGGGAGGGCAAGCCAGGCAACTGCCCAGGGCCCCACACTTTGGGGGGCCCCAAAATTTTGCAACAATTTTTTTGGGGGGTGAAGTTTTTGCAAGAGAGTGGCTCTATCTGCATTTTGACCCTTGACTATTTATCCAATTCCCCCCGAAGAATATTAAAAAGATCCACGATACAACTGTGGTGGGTTATAGGTCATCAAAATTAAGCCTCTAAGGGGCCCCAAATGACTCTCTTGCGCAGGGCCCCAAAAACCATAATGCCACCACTGCCAGTGTGACACAAATTTTGGTTGTATATTCAGTTAGCAGGTAGCTTGAATTTTGCTAGTAAGAATTATTTGCTGAAGAAATTCACAATGGTTACATATAAGATGAGAATTTATGATTTATTTGGGGAATTCCTTACCTGAAAAAATAAAGTGAAATTTGTGGAACAAATTATTTGCTCTGAAAGAGGTTTTGTGTACGTGGAAATGTATGGGCAAGTTATTCCATGCAATAGGCATGAATTTTACACCTTAAAGTTAAACTTCATGAAACCCTTGGGTGGACACTCATTCAAAATAAAGTGGCATTCATTCAGTTTACTTTAATTCATTTCCAGTGAAAGAACTTCCAAAGTGAATTAAGCTAAACTGAATTCAGGACACTCTTCTGAATGAGGGTTCACAAAGGGATTTGATATAGCTTAACTAAAAAGATTTATACATTCATTTGGGTTATTGTCCCTGTGTTATGCAGGCTTTGATTCTGCTACATTAGAAGGTCAAACAGCAGGGAGTTTATGCAGGAGTGCTCCCTGTCTCCTACCCAGTCATCACAGGCTTCTTGCACTGTATTGGCCTGGGAAGTAGTTGTATAGAGGTGAGATGACTGGGGTGCACAGAAAAGAGAACTATGAGCATGGCAACTACTCTAGGAGGGGAGTAGGTATCTACAATTACTGCTTCTTCTCCTAACATAGGTGGCCACATATGCCAGTCTGAGGATTCCCTTTCCCTCTGTATGTATTCTGTCAGCACAAAAGCTTGTTACGCTGGTTGTGCTCCTTCATTTTATAAAGCCGCAAGCTCTTTGGGCAGTGGGACCAGCCTTTTTTGGTATGTGCGCCACAAATTACCCCATGGCCTTCCCAAGCGCCACTCTGATCCCCTTCCCCTACCTGCTCTGCTTTCTGCTCCCTGCCCTATCTGCTGCTGCATTGCCTACCCCATCCCTGATCTGCTGTGTGCCACAAATATGGGCTGTGAATGCCACTTGTGTTATGTGTGCTGCAGTTTGACCACCCCTTCCTTGGGAATATGAAAGTAAGTTCACCCATCATTGAAACATAGCCACTTCTGGAGTGGAATCCAACTCCATAGCACTATACAGTAAGGAATGAAACTACAGGGGGAATAGTAGTTGGCATATTGGTACCACCTGACCTAGATTTTGTCCAGGACACAAACCTAACTCTTGCAAAAAACTGCAGTGGGGTCTTCAGCAATGTCCAGTGGCCAGAACCTCATTTTTTTTCATCCTATCCATAAGCCTCATGGTATGAATGTAGCTTGGCACAGGACCATCTCCTCAGTAGCTCTGTCACCACACTACTGGCACTTTTCTTTTGCCCAGTGGTTAAATATATTCCACATCAAGATTATGCATGGACCATTGCTAGGTGGCAATGCACCTTAAAGCAAAGAAATATTACAGGTCATGGATTCCTGCAAATCACATTTAAGCTAGAGAAGTCCATCTCATCCAGAAGCTTAAGTTGGATTAGTTATTTTTAAACCCAGCAGAAGAAGCATTAAAATAAGCTTTTTATGCAAGCATCCATGAATAATTCTTGCCTTAGGACCTAGGATTTTTTTGTAGTGCCCCTCTCCGTCAATCTCTGCCCCATAGATAATCCCATATGAAGGGCGGGGGGAAGGAGGGTGTTTCCAGGCCTTCTGTTCTTCAAGTCATAATTCTGGATGTTTCAATATGAACCTTGGAGACAATTTAAGACTGTTTTGGGGAGAAAGTGTTGCTTTTGTATCTCCTAGGATTCAGCTGTTCCCCATTGGTTAAGTACCAGCTGATTTCTAAGTTTTTTGAGAGATTACTTATTGAGACAGGCTGAAAAGACTGCAGTGGAGCAATTCAAGGTGGATTGCAGCCATATGCAAATTTTCAGAAGTTGTTACAGCTTAAAAATATTTTAAGAGGCTCTGTGAGTTCAGTCCTTGCCAAGTGAGGAACTAAACAGAACACCCTACAATCAAGAGTCAAAGCTTCCCTACACCCTCCTACCCAGCTTTGGTGCCACAGGACAGTCCTGACTGTGGCATACCTTGCTGCTTGTCTTAGTTTTCCCTTTAGAGCTTTGGGAATGGATCTAAATGCTAACCTGTATCTATGCTACTAGTCTGCAGTGCTGCATCCTTCATTTAACTGTTGAGTAAATGATGCCAATGATACTAAATTGTAGTTTTGCCTTGTGGTTAATGGAAAGCGAGATAAAAAACAGGAAAATGCACAGTGATAGCAGCTTACATTTGATCCCGTGTTTCCAGAGGTAAAAGGTCAAGGCATAACCCCTCAGGCATCCCTTGTTCCTCCTCGTACCTACCACTGACAATCTAAAATGAGGACAAGTAAGACCAAGCCAGAATCTTTTTCACCTTATGGTAGTATCACATATTGCTAACTGACCTGTAGCCCCTTACACAACTCCAATTGAAATCCAAGCTTCCACAAAACTCAAAGGGATCCTAGACTAAGGTCTGCAGAATCAGGTCCTTGATATAATCTAACAGTGGTTCAGAGGGGAGTTAAAGATTGTGCTCCCCGGAGTCCTTATTTCATCATTTGCAGTGCATCTTTTCCTACCCTAAAAAGAAAGCAAAAAAACAGATTCTGCCCCATTATCCCAATGTCAAGGAGCCAGGATTCCCTTGAGAAGGGGAAATTGCTGACTGCAAACAGCTGCTGTAGCATGCTCAAGCTGTTTCTGCTCTCCTGGCATGCAGAGAGCATGTGGCTGTGGGGTGACAGATTTGGGGGCTGTATTTGTACTGTTCCAGCTAGTGCAAATTAGAGTACTCCTGAAACTGCTCTAAGTTTGCTTTAGAGCTGAACTGAGCCCTTGAGATTGCAGAATTGGGTTTTTACCAAAAAAGCACACCTGCCCTTATCTTAGATAAGTCAAAAGTAGCTCAGGTACACCTCAAGACCTGGCCTCCCTTGTGTATCTTCTGTATTGTTTTAAAAGCCTGGCTTTTAAGTGGGATTTTTTTTAAGCTCTTACTGATATAACTACAATTTCACTTAAAAAAATAGTAGCAACCTATGCAAGAGACTTATTCAAAACATTTATTAGTGTTTAAGGAAAAATAATAGTGTGAAAAGGTACAGAGATTTGCCTAGATCCATATGCATCTTTTTACAAGCTTATTTGGCTGTAAATTCTACATGAGATAAAACTAGTATGTTTTTCTCCTGAAGTTCTGGAATTTAAGGACAGATTTTTTATTACATTTCAGCATTTTTTTAAATGAGGACAGCATTTTTCAGCATTTGTTTGTTTTATTTTTCCAGTAGGCATTTTACTACATCCAGTTTGGTTTATTTTTTCTTTTTCCGTTTCAGAACAAGGCTTATTCCAGATACAAAGCATAAAGGGAACGTTCAGATCTTGTTTTTTTTCCAAGCTAAACTTCCTTTGTGAACAGCAGCTCATGAAGAATACTCATCAATGTAACTGGACAGTTATTTTTAAAAAATAATTTTACAAAAAATTAAGGCTACCTAGATGTCTCGATTAAAATACTCTCAGGTAAAACACACCCTACCTGTTAAGATATGAAAGAAGGTTTAACAATAAATAAATGATTTATGCTGTCAATAACATTATGGAACTGTATAAAATTATATTTACGTTGCTATAAACAACAACAACAAAAACATACTAGTGGCATGAATATATACAACACAGGTCATGACATGTTTAAATTATCATAGCCAGCAGTGTTTGGGTTTGTTTTGTTTTTTAAATGGAGACACTATAATAAATAGAAATGTTAAATATTTACAATAATAGCATATGTGGAATCAGTAGATGAACACATAAAATCTTCACACACAGAGGAAAAAGTTATGCCTTATATAAAAATTTCCCCCCAAACCCCCAACAGAATGATAAAGAAATTTTTCACTGACTAAGCAAGATGGGGGAATATATATTTTCCCCACCCAGAATGAATGAATAACAATGAATTGTATGCATGCTGAGGTGATATGTTGACTAAGACATTCAAGGACATACATCATTGATACGTTTGGTTCCCATACATATATCAGACCTCTAACAAGAGATGGACGGACCTTACTGGAGTTATATGAGAATACTGACTTGATAGCAAGTCCTGTTTGCTAACATGCTTCCATTATTCTTTTTTTTTTTGGTTTGAGCTTGTTGTTTGCTATGCCAATACACCACCGTGGGGTGGCAGATGATTGTGAGGAGCAGCAGCAAGACAGTTTTGGGGTGGGGTGAATAGGAATTTATATTCACAAGGCGGCATTCATTCCTCCTGCTGCCACAAAGTGGGGACTGTCCACAGGGCTGTTGCCAAGACTGAATCCATTAACTTGTCCGTGTATTAGAAGGCACCCTGATTGCTCCTCAGAGGTCGGGTTACTCTCTGTGGCTGCACTAGTGCATTGTGGCCTCTTTTTGGCCTGTTCCTAGATCTCTCCATTGAGGTCAGAGTTTTGTCATGGACTTCAGTGGGAGTAGGAGCAGGGTCCCTTCTTTGACCAAGCAGCTGATGGGTTTTCAGCCTAATGGCTTGTTTGTTTTCCCTATGACCTCATTTGTAGCATCACCCAAGATCCTGCTGTTGGACATATGTGCAAAGCTCTCGGAAACTGGAAACTTGTGTACACATGCCCATGTGCAGCAGAAGCAATGGCCAAATCTGCTAGCCACACTAAAATGACTCCCATCCCAAACCAGGAGACAAAGATACTAATTAATTCCCTATGCAAATTCAGTCGCTACCAAACTGTTTCTTTGCCACTACATCCTTGACCCAGGCTTCCTGACCTAGAAAACCAGTGCTCAAATCTTGATGTGATGCTATGTTCTGAGAAAACTTGTTCTTTCCCAACAAAGGTTACCGCCAATCTCATTCTTTCCCCCACTTTGGATGCAAAAACCAGTGGTTCAAGTGCAGTATCTGAGGGAAAGGGTGCAACCTGTGAATCAGAACTGCATACAGAAGTAAGAAAAGCTGCCTCACAGCATCCCACTCTAACTTTCAACTGCTCAGGAATTTAAAGCTCTCTTAACAACTCTATCTGCATGTAACCCCATTCTGTGGTGTTGTAAGGTTACTATAAGGCATGCTCTTATCAAGAAAAGCAAGCACTTGCACCCATCCCAGAGTCATCTTTGGCATTTTGATAAACCACAGGCAGATTTAAAACACTGGGTCTTAACAGCTTTGCAAACTGCATCCTGCTACTTCCAAAGAGAATAGGAAAGAGAGATTTTCAGTGGGCCTCCAACACACCAGCTACATCCATAAAGTTTTGAGGATGCATCAGCTGTCTGCACCTGCTTCTGACATTTTGGGTTGTCCACAGGCAGAGAAGAGAGGCTGCCCTAAAATATGCTTTTAAAATATTTTTTAAAATATCCTGAAGAAGGATATAATTTGGGACTTTGGAGGTCCACAGAAAATGTGCTCATTGCATTGTTAAGCAGGTCTTAATGGTCAAGTTGTCTTGCCTGGAAGCTGGTGAAGTCACTGGATAAGTAAGAGTGAAGTTTAACAGTGGTTAAAATACAAATGAGAGGGGGCACATTAGTTAGGCAGCATCACCCCGATGCAAACAATGGCTCAGAAATTATGAGAAAAGGAACTGATATTAATTTTGTCAGAGTGCCACAGCAACCTCCTTTGAACTCTTATGTTCATGGTCATGTGCAGGGACCAAATCCCTTTGGAAACTAGCCACCTGCTTTAAGACAGCTCTAAGTGTAGCAGAGGTGCTGAGTCAGGAAAAGCCAAAGTATGATCTGTCTTGGCCTCCCCTCCACCCAAAAGAAAAACCAATTGCAACTTGTTTCCAATTGTTCTGTTGTTTTTTAAAGGATTTAAATGGAGACATTTTGTCACACTTGCTGGCTAGGCAAGTGGTGAGTTCACCAGATATAACCAATAACCAATAGCCACTGCTCTCCCTCTGCTTCTATATATATATACTGTCACTGAGGTCCTCATATCCCACAATGCCCTGTGCTTGACATCACCCCTCTGAATGGTAAATGTTCAGGAATGTCCATAGATAAGAAGATGGACTCGATGAAGGAAGTTTCCAGTGGAGGGGGAGGGGAGGGTCTGTGCCTCCTTTCACCTTCGGATGTCAGAGAAATCGGACAGTTCATCTGCCCGGTCAATGATCCCGTGTGCCCCTTTGGGACTGTGAACTCCTGCTTTCACACGGGTGTGAGCACTCAAGTGAACCTTGCTACCTCTCTCTCCCTTAGCTGCTCGCGAGCTCTCCCGCTGGTCAGATTCAGGATGGGGCAGCAAGTCCCCGCGGTTGATGGAGGCTCTGTTGGCTTCTTCTGGCTTCTTCTCAGGACCCAGGGTGACATCACTATGCACAGATGAGGTACAGAAGCTCAGGATGGAGCAGAGGCTTCCCCAGTTCTGTTCACACTGGGCCTGGACGCTTCTGGTGATTGCCTTTTTCACCTCCTCCCCACAGGTAAGCAAGATGTTCACAAGGTCGACGTATGGCCTGAAGGTAAACCAAACAGCAGGAGAGGGCATATTAAAGAAAGAACTGTGTTACAATATGAATGGGAGTAAGGCCACTGACTGACATGGACAGGTCACTCTGCCTCATTCTTTCACTCACCAGCCACACTTACTGAGCTTGCTACAACTAAAACTCAGGGCCTTTTACAGCACCTCCAGCAGGTAAACAAAAGATATGCAAGACCCATATTACCCCCTCTGAGCAAGATATTTCTGCCGGGTAGATCCATTAAAGAATATCAAGCCTGTGCTGCACTGGAGTCCCTGGACTAGAATCACTGTTAAAATTTGTGAAATAGGAAATCAAACAGCAAACCAAGATTTATACCTTTGGCCTATAGAAAAGAAAAATATAGGATTGAATACACCTTCTTTGTCTCTCTGGAGACAAAGACTATTGTGGCTGCATCCAGACGAGTGCAGTTGTGCAGTATGTGGTGCAGCACCACATAGCGCATGTTCAGTTGTTCTCCACACTGCAAGGGAGCAG